ACCATTGGAGGGAACTTGACGACGAAAAGTTTGTTCTTCATCTTACTTCGATTCATAGAAAGCACATCAACTAATCCTTTCTTTTTATTATCTTATTTTTATTAAAGTGAGAATGAATGCAATTTGTGAATGCAATTTATGAATGCAATAGACGATTGAAGAGATGATGAAAACAAACAATTTTATTTATTTCATCCAGACAGTGTACATTCCTCAATGCAATGTTTCGAAGTACACATTTTTTTTTAAAGTGGAGAAGCCTAAATGAACCCATAGGCAGGTTAGAATTTCTATTTATTTTCTTTTTGACTTCCCGTGCATGGCATGCGAATGCCCTAATCCTCTTGAGGAATGTCCACTTCTTCGATTGTCTATTATTAGATGCATGTTATGAGGATGAAGTTTGGTGAATGCATGTATGCAAGTGTTTGTTTTTTCCTAAACATTATCATGTTTTATTTTCTAACGTGATGTATGATAGTGTTTGGGATTTTGCGTTTGTTTTTAATGCGGATGAGGGCATGAAGAATACTAGCCGCTTTCTAGAATGCAAAAAGATTTTTATTGTTTAAAACAAATGATTTGTGAGATGGATATTCCTTAGAATGAATGTATTTATGCATGCACAGTACAAAAGGGCGGTAGATGTTCAAAGTGGCATAACTTTTGACTGAGATGTTCGATTTGGACGCACAACATATCAAAACGAAGAGAAAAAGGTGAAGAATCCAGTTGCAAATTCCCATAGGGAATTTGACCCAGTAATTTTCCCAAAAAACGCTTCTAAGACCCATTTTTTAGGGATTTATTAAAATGATGCGTATGTAGACTCTCCTTATCCATTTATTTTCTCTTTTGATTTTTCCGCTTATGACATGATGCAATATGAATGAGACGACTTTGTCAAAATTCTTTTTATAAATGTTTTTGATTATTTTGTTTATTTTGGCTTTATTTATTTTTATTTTATAGCCTTTTATCTCTTCTATCGGGCTGCGTGACTACTTAACTTACAAAGAACCTGAAACCAGGCTAGCTAAAAGGCAGACTGTCCGAGATAAAATTGTTTTATTGGCGAAAGAATAATATTAGCGTCCCTTATCTCTTCTGTTGGACTGCGTGGCTACTTAGCTTACAAAGAACCTGAAACCAAGCTAGCTAAAAGGCAGACTGTCCGAGATAAGGGTGTTTATTGTAAAATTTTGTTTTTATTTGTTGTTTGTTTGGTTATGTTATGCAATCAAATGCAACAAACAAATGCACATACAATTCACTCATCCACGAACAGGCGAGAAGTCATTTTAATTACGAGGTAGGGTTTTCCTGTAGAAAAGTGCATTGGCGAGGGTAGGTTCTAACTGTTCTCACCAGGCTAAGGCCCCCAAGGTGCCCCCATTATAGGGTCCCCACTCTCCAGCCTTCCGACCATGCTTAGGACTAAGGCCATAGTCAGTCTTGTTGCCAAAAGAGGAAGGTTATCACCTTGAGTGGTGGTTTCCGATCACACCGGTGGGCACAAGGCCATCACTACAGCGAACCGTACCTGCCACCCACTCCTTATGGATTTCTCACTTGCCCCTGGGTATAGAGGGAACTGTTGTGTGCAAGGGTTTGTGTACAATTTGTATTTCAAACAATTGCGTAAGTATAAACAAACAACAGTTATTTAAAGTCAAACCGTAAAACATGTTATAATACAAGGTAAGGGCAAAAACATTATTTCCTTGGTTTATTTATTTTTTAAGCCGACCCATCACTAAATGGGATCAACTCTCGAGGCTTCCCCAGTGGAGTCGCCATCTGTCGCCGCCGTCAAAAAGAGAGGCGGTCGGAGCGACGCGATGGTTCCGACTTTCCAATTTTTGCGTTTTTATGGGTGTGGTTACAACGCCTTTAGGTTGTCCGATAACCGGGCTGAACCTAGGGGCGAGGTTTTCGAAGAAGTGTTCTTGGATTGTCCGATAATCGGGCTAACCCAAGAACTAACTTTGAAGGGTTCTTATGGAGTCACCACCGATGTTTTTACCGGAAACATCAAAAAAGGAAAAAAGAAGGCAATGGTTTTCGAAAAACCAACTTTGACCATTATAACCAGAGTCGGGTAAGGGAGTTAGTTATGTGTGGGGAAGGTATTAACACCCCCACAACGCCCATTTCGGGTTCCCTATGATGGACTATTCTTAAAATAAAGACAATAAAAGTATGCTTCTACCCTATTTATTTATTACAAAATTTAAATAGTTATCTACATGATCCTAATATCTAATGCATACAAGGAAAATAGTAAAAGAAAGCGATAAAAGAGAAAAGATATGAAGGAGAACCTCCGAAGCGAGCTTTTATAAATGTTGAACTTGAGGACGCTTTTTGGCAGTCCCCGCACTCTACAGAGACATTCCTCTCTCGATAAAAAAATAAAGGTGTCACCCTACCGAGGGCCGGATGTCTCAAAAAAAAGAGGACATCCTTAACCGATTTCTACCTTAATGGAAATCGGAAGGCTCACTCGAACTCTGGAAAAATACTCAGAGTCACTCTAAAGTGGCAAAAGGCTTCCTAGAGAGTGGTAGGAGTGAATGGTGTGTGAAAATGAGGGGATGGAGCCCCTTATTTATAGTTTTTCGCGCCTGACAGGTCGAGACCGCCGTCTCGTCAAACGAGACCGCCGTCTCGCCTTTCGCAGGTGGCGAGACGACGGTCTCGATTTCGAGACGGCGGTCTCGTCTCAAGAGGGTGAGAAACCTTATTTTTGTGCCAAAAAATCCCTCATATCCTAGTATGGGGCCTAATAGTCTCTCCTAGTGGCTTGTTAGGCTTCGTCCATCTTCGAATAGAAGGTCTTCTATTCTTTATTTGGAGGCGGGGTAAGATTTGGGGTTTACACTGTTATTTGATATTTGTTAAACTGCAAGATCCACCTGATTACTTTATTCTATTCACTCTTTATTTCCTTTTTATCCACCTTTGTTAATAGGAATATTTCTACTAATTCCATTCCTTATTACAATCCTCTCTATTTATAAATGATTTAAAATCAAATTAAAAAGTAATAATTAAAGCAAAAGTCTTGTTATTAATAATAACTTAAAATTAATAAATAGTTTCATAAATTCAGCCCTACTAGAAGAAAACCGAGAATACCTCCAAGTTGTTAATAGAAGTGGTTGAAATAAAAAATAAATATTTTATTATGGTACTAGTTATTAGCATTTCTAATAGAATTTATGTTTAAATAAAGTATAAATTATTTGAAATAACATTATATTTGTTAAGATTTTATATGATAAATATTTTATTTTATTTTTTATAATTATTTTATTAAATCATTTATAAAAATATAATCAAAATAAATAAAGAAAATAAAAGAGAAAATGATTTTTTGAAAATTTATTAAGAAACTTCTAATAGAATAAATTTAACCGTAAGTTACTTAAAAATAATATAAATTTATGTTTTACAATTTTTTAAGGAATATTGGAAATGTTTTGGATAAAGTTACTTAAAATTCAAATTTTAATTAATTAATTTTTATTCTTACAAATATTTTAGTAGAAAATTCTTATTAAAATACTTAAATAACGTATAACTTATATGAGAGAAATCTTTTGTTATATAATAAGTTCAAACAATTCTAAGAAATAGATAAATCATAATAAACGAGGAATAATATAAGAAAAAAATAAATTTTTAAAATTATTAAAAAACTTTTAAGAAAATAAAATTAATTATAAATTACTTAAAAATAATATTGTATCATAATTTTTATTTTTTTAATAAAAAACAACTGGTGTTAACTATCTTATTAAAAATGCCTAAAGAACTGTTTGTAGTAATTTCCATTCTAAAAAGTTGTAAGGGGATTGTGAGTTAAAATTATTTATCACTCTCGTTCGACAACACTATTCCTACAAGATAAATCTAATTTTCATCAAACCAACTCCCTACAATCAAAGGGAGTATTATAACTGTGGATATCTATTATCATGAAAACTGAATCATAACACACTCAAGAATAATTAAATATACTTAAGCAAAATGCCAGAGTAAGGTATGTCATAAATTGTGCCAAATATAGCAAAAGGTTCATGACAACAATGACTACAGTCAAACTCTTTGAAACAATTTAAGGTTCATGAGATGCACATATTCAAAAGGGATAAAAAGAATCCAGATTACCAACCCTTCTAAAATTGAAGAATACAAGCATGATCAACAAGTAAAATTATCTAAAACCCTTAAAAATAAATATAAAGCTTTTTAAATAAGACTCAATCTCACAAAGAAAACACTAATATGATGCCACCGTATCGATGACCAAGAAATTTAAAACCGTAGTAAAAAAAACGAAAAAAAAACTCTATCATTCTTGTAATATAATATAATATAATATACAGAAGATGACAATAAATAAATGAATAATAAAAAAATATATATTTTTGTGTTAAAAAGTCTATACACATTAAAATATAAAATAATGCTTTTGATTTTTATTATTATGTCACATTAGTTAATATTTGTATTTGTATATTTAACGCTATATCAAGCGAAAAATTAACATAATACATCCTAACATGTGATAAAAATGTTATTGTCACACTTTAAATAATTTATAATTTTTCAAAATAAATCCTATCTGTTTACTTTAAAATGAAACTTCAGTGAAATTACGACTTGAGAAAAAAAACATAAATTAAAATTAAAAAATTAATTATTTTATAAGAACTGAAATGAAAAACTTCAAATGTTAAAGAAATTAAGAGTCACGGTGAACACAATGAAAATAATATCATTTTGCAACGCCAAATGCAAAACTGTATAATTCAACCATTGTAACCTTGGAATAGAAGAGATTAATCCTTACAATCCACGAACTTCTCGCTTCGTGTAGCAAATAATTTTTCAAAACGACTCCTCCCGTTATCTTTGAATTGAGGCAAAACAACTTTGAAGAGGTGAGCTTCGACTGTTGGATTCAAACTGTGGGTATTCTACTATCCGACATGAATGGCCACATACCTTCTCAAGTGTCTCTCTCCTCACTCTTCTTCCTTCCCAATGGAAACCCTTCTTTTTCGTTCCCAGTAAGTATACTTACTTTGATATGCTATGCTATGCTCACTCTCCTCCATGTATAGGTCCTTTCCTGACTCTATGCTGGTGCAGCCTTTTCGTTGGAACCAAATGGCATTTGGGGTTCGTAAAGCCCCGCGCTTTGTGGTAAGGGCAGGCCCTAAGAAGATATTATTCGGCAAGGAGTGCAGAGAGGCCATGCAAACCGGGATTGATAAACTCGCCGATGCTGTCTCTCTTACCGTCGGACCTAAAGGTATTGTATTGTATATCACTATTGAATGCAGTTACCAATTGGGGGGTTTTCAATTCGTGGCACGGCTTATTTAATGTTATTTGCGGCTGATTTTCTGCCTGAACAATGGCCAATACCTAGAATCTATTCTGGCTACTGATTAAGTGTGTTTGGGTGAGCATTTGTGATTCTGGTTTTTAATGAAATTGATTTTTGTTAAAATTGTTTTTAAGTGAAGTGATTTATATTTAGATGATTTTAGTTTGAAAGCAAGTTAGTAGTTAAACAGTAGTTAAACTCAGTATAATTTTTTTATCCAACGCAAATAGCTACTCAAATTCGACTTTAGACCCCAGAACTTATTTCCCAAGATGGGACTTACACGTGAACATGTTTGAGTTGATATTCGCTAATCTAAAATTATGTTCAAATACCAGTTAATGTTTGGCTCAAAATCGATGGAGGTGAAACAAACACTTAAGGTGATTTTTGCGTTGGATTAAAAAATTTCATACTGATTTTTCTATCTTGCTTCTAAATTTGGAAGAAAGAATCCAAACATAAATTCCATCACTTTGCAAACGTTCAGCCTATTACAAAACATTTGTTAAAATCATTTTAGCTGGTATTTTTACATGTCTTGGTTGATCCAACATGAATTCAAACATGCACTAAGTACATGATTTGTTTTGATTGAATTTTAGTTTTATTATTAGTTGTTTCGTAAACATAGTAAACTAATATGTAGAAACACGAACAAGGCTCACAATTGTTTTTAATTATCTTTTTGCTGAAAATTGCTTGCTTTTGAATATAAATATTATACGTTTGGCTGATTCTGGTCCAGTTATTGTTGACTGTTCTTGCTTATATTTCATTCCTAAACATGTAGGACGAAATGTTATTCTTTCTGAATCTGGAAACCTTAAAGTGATTAATGATGGCGTTACAATTGCTCGATCCATTGAGCTTTCAGATGCAATTGAGAATGCAGGTGCCATCCTAATTCAAGAGGTTGATCATGATTGCTAGGATTTTGCCACAGGTTAAATGGATAAAACTTGAGACAAAAGTAACCAGAGATGTATTTATGTTTTTTCCTTTCTTGCTTGTAGGTTGCTAGTAGAATGAACGAGTTGGCTGGTGATGGTACTAGCACTGCAATCATTCTGGCTCGTGCCATGATTAAAGCTGGACTATTAGCAGTTGCTTTTGGAGCTAATCCTATTTCTTTGAAGAAGGGGATGGATAAGACTGTAAAGGAGTTGGTCAAGCTCTTGAAGGAGAGAAGTGTTCCTGTTCAAGGAAGGGAGCATATTAAAGGTCTTTGCTTCTTCTTGTTTCAGTTGTGTCAAATTAAGGGTTTTCTTCACAAGAAAATATTGAAGATATTTCTTACTTTTCTTTTGCAGCTGTAGCATCAATTTCTGCTGGAAATGATGAGTATGTTGGTGACTTGATTGCTGATGCTATGGGAAAGATTGGTCCAGATGGGGTGATCACTATTGAGTCTTCCTCAACATCTGAAACCTCTGTGATAATTGAAGAAGGGATGAAGGTATGGGTAATGTTGAAATTGTGGGGTTTTAGGCATAGAGGGAGGAGATTAAGAGAAAAGACACTTTGAATAATAATATATTGATTACTGTAATGAGTTACAATGCTATATGATCTTCAAAGCCTAGAGCACTAATTATACTCCTAACTAATTAGGGAAACAAATCATGAGATAGTGAAATATGGTAATCAATCTTAAGAGATGATCGGAATAGGGAAACTAATCTCAAAGGATAGTCTAAAATAATCTAAAATAATATATTTTTACTTATTCTAACAAATAATATTACTCAGTAATAAGTGTCAGTGCTTCTTCTTGCTTAGATCTGCACAATCGTTGTGTTTTGCCCTAATAAAGTTGTTGTTTGTGCTTTTTGTACAGATTGATAAGGGTTACATGTCTCCTCACTTCATTACAAACCAGGAGAAGTCCATTGTAGAGTTTGATTGGGCTAAAGTTTTGGTAACTGATCAAAAGATTTCAAGTGTCAAAGAAATAGTCCCATTGCTAGAAAAAGCCATGCAGTTGAGTGTCCCACTCTTAATTATTGCAGAGGATATCACAAGGCAAGTTCTGGAAACATTAGTAGTGAACAAAATGCAAGGATTACTAAGAGTTGCAGTGGTAAAATGTCCAGGATTTGGAGGTGGAAAGAAAGCTTTGTTACAAGATATTGCACTTATGACTGGTGAGTTCCTACAGACTTTGATAAGCTTTGTTGATATCTCTACCAACTTCCTCTATGATAGGGTTATGCTTCCTATTTTTGAAAATTTCTCTTGAAGCCTATGCATTTGTTTGTGTCAAGAAATGTTTGTCGTTGCCTTCTGTGTTGATTAATTAATTTGATTTAGCTAAGCAGTTTAATTTGAGTACTAAAGTGACTCCACCTTCTCATTTAATAACTGCCTTGCTCTTGTTTCCAAGATTTGCAATCCATCTCGTGTGATGTTTCAGGACCTCAGTTGACTGTTAGTAGAATAAGGATGATGTTAAATTTTGAAGTTCCTTTTTGTGTGTTTGCATGTGACTCTATCTGTATGAGGATACTTTGAGATTTTGTTATGTTTTTTGTTTTTTCTTAAATATAATAAGGATGTATTTTTTGTTCCCATATTTTAGAAAGAGTCTTCTGTTCAGCCTAATTTAATCCACAACATTTTTTCTGCTCTGCTTGTTTGATATCATGTTATTAACACCACAGGTGCTGATTTTCTTTCTGGAGACTTGGGTCTCACGCTTGATGGTGCAACATCAGACCAGCTTGGTACTGCACTGAAAGTGACAATAACCAGTAATGCAACAACTATCATTGCTGATCCCAGTACTAAGGCTGAAATTCAGGCGAGAATTTCACAGATAAAGAAGGATATTAGTGAAACAGATAATGCAAACCTGTCAAGAAAGCTCTCAGAGAGAATTGGAAAACTCTTGGGTGGTGTAGCTGTTATAAAGGTACCTAATTCATAAACATGCCGTGGGCTGTGTCCTAGCCACCCGTGTTGTTACTTTGCTAATGTTTCTTTAGTTCTTTTGTTATATATATTAACTATGATATTTTATATATTATTGGATTTTATTGAATCATTGTGTTATTCACCTTGTATTTTCGACTTGCTTCATGCTTGTAACTTGAAAAATAGAACCATAGAAGTTTGTCACCCATTAGCCTCCTTGATATATTTATTATCTTTACAGAAGAGGGATCTTATATAACTTTTTACTTCTAAATCATTCATGTTATATTTATTTATCATAATTAATATATCATCTATATGATACTTCTCTCCTCTACGACAACTTTTTTTTTTCTTCTACTTTTCAATATATATATATTTTTTTCTAAGCAAAATCAAATATTACAATAATATTTATATTATTCAATTCAATTAACCAAGAACTCCAAGTGGCTCATTGCTTGACAATTTACTCAAATCAGAATTGTTACCATTCTATTTCCCCAATCAATTGTTGTAGAGTTCTTTGTTGATTGGGATGTGCAAAAAGATTAAAGATAACAAAAATCTAGATTCTAGATCTCACGTCACAAATTGTTTCCGCATAACTTTCACAATACTTTTGTTAAATGTTGAGCCTTGACACTCAGTAAGGACAGTGCTTTTTGAGTTGGAACAGATTTAACTTCTGAAACCGACTCTTTGTTTGTGGTGGGAGCCTCGTGCAATGGGTTGCCTTTTTATCCATAATATTTTTATGAGGATTTGAGAAAATAAAAAATATTAACAGATTTGAATTGATTTCTTTATTTGGTTAGTGTTGTACCTCAGTTATTTGGGTGCAATTTTTATAATTATTGGTAACTTCATTTGATGTCAATTGGTTTTAAGATGCAATTTAACACATAGCTTGGATCCTATTAAAGAAGTATATAATCCTTGTATATGTTATGCATGACTGAGACCAAGTAGCAATTCTGTAAATTGCACGGGTCTTACTGACCCCATTTGTTTCCCATACACAATTCTTGATTGCAATTTGTTGTATAGAAAGAAACAACTGCCATCTTAAATTTTGCCAACAGTATTTTTCATTAACATTTTTTCCATTTTACATAATGCAATCACCAATTGCGTAGGTAGGTGCACATACTGAGCTAGAATTTGAAGATAGAAAACTTAGAATTGAGGATGCAAAGAATGCAACATTTGCTGCCATAAGTGAGGGAATTGTTCCAGGAGGGGGTGCTACATATGTCCACATGTTGGACTTGATACCAACAATAAGGAACTCCATGGAAGATCTAGATGAGCAAATTGGTGCTGATATCATAGCAAATGTATGTTTTTTACCTTTTTTTGGCCTACAAGTTCTGTCTTATCTTCGTATCTTTATCCTCATGTTCATTTTATTTTGTAATGAATGTTCTATGATTATTTTCATGTAAAACCTTTTTTCCCATGAAAAAGTGGTCAACTTTGAATCAGTTGAGCGTTGACTTCTGAGATTTGCATCATTTTAAAATCCAAGAAAATTGAGTTTTATTTATTTATTTATTTATTTCTTGTTCAGATTGTAATTAAAAGAAAAAAAATTTACTCCATAAAATATACCTCATTATTTTGGGTGGAACGTTCACTTTTCTGAAAAAAGAGCACTAGCTAGACAGTGCATGCGTATTGGGTTTTCAACCATGATTTTGGACATTTTCGCTAGACTTTGTTCGATGAGTCTTGGATGCTTCAAGGAACATACTCCTGACTTATACGTAGCATATTGATTTGCAAGGTTAACATAAAAAGCAAATATTAATTCTTGAGCATGGTATTGATTATATTTATAGGTCTTAAAATTCTGTAGTTATAGTGATGTTTTTATACATGTACTCCCACTCAAGCACATATTCACATAAAAAATGATTTTTTTTCCCTCCTGCTTAAAAAACAGGCAACATCCTTATAACATGTCTGAAATGATTTAACATATGTGGTTGCGCATGATCATTGCAGGCACTCATTGAACCTGCAAAATCAATTGCAACTAATGCAGGATTTGATGGAGACATTGTTGTCCAAAAGACTAGAACTCATGATTGGAGAACAGGATATAATGCAATGACGGGCATATACGAAGATCTTTTGAATGCTGGAGTAGCAGATCCTTGTCGTGTTGCAAGATGCGCTCTTCAGAATGCAGTTTCTGTTGCTGGTCTGGTTCTAACTACTCAAGCTATATTGGTGGATAAAATAAAGAAACCCAAGCCACCTGTGCCCATGGTTCCAGGCATAACGCCCTAAGATGGAGAAAACTACTACAATTTTGAAAACAGAGTTCAGTCTTTTCCATACCATTTGTTGAGTCAAAGCTGGTGAAGCCCCTTGGGTTGATTAATACTCCAGCAGCAGTAAGAATATTGCTCGTTTCAAGAGTAAGAAATTCAGATGTTGCTGCTGCTTACTCTTGCTTGAGTTATGACTTGATGAAACTTATGTCATGAAGCGATTGGAACAATTGTTCAACTGGTGAAGTTCAACTACATTCCGCAGGGAATTGATTAGCGTTCTGTTAGGTTTCTTTCTCCATTTTATCGATTATCTTTTTGTGACACCATAGTTGATAATAGTTTTGTTCCAGAAAACCGGTTGTATGACATTATCAATCAAGATAATTGATGAGACAAATGTATGAATCTAATTCAGGTGGTTAATGGAAGGCTAGTACGTAACACGAACCATCCAAGTTTCAATTTTGTTTTGTCAGAATCGTACAAGATTTCTTTGGACAAGTGTTGATGTATTAGTAAACTGTCTTTTCAATTTGATTGGACAAGTAGGTATACCCGCCAATAGATCAGATGTTGAAAGCTTACGTGCTACGTTGACTCGCGGTTTTGTTGTTTAGTTATTGAGAATGTTACATCACCGGAATGTCAATCAAGTGTAAAACTCCGTCATAAAAAATTTGAAAACCCTTTTTCAAGTGTGTGCTATTGTGGTACTTGTTTGTGGTTTTGCTTGTTTGTAGAAGTTGACATGTCTCTTTCTTGTTCTGATATTTGTAGCATTTTTGAAAGACTAATTTCGTAAGATTTTTTAAAGTAAAAATATAAAAAATAAAATTGTTTTTTATAAATTAATTTGTAAAAAATCATATAATTTTAATTTTTATTTATACATAAAGTATTTTTAGTTTATGAAGAAGTAAATTTATTTATTTTCTACAAACAAAATATTTATTTTGTATATAAAATGTAAAATGATTAAGTCAGTTGACTTTATTGTACACAAAATTACCTTCTACTATTAAATTATAATTACAACAATGTGGAATTAATTGCTTTTATTAACAAAAGAACATATGAAAGAATTGTAAGTAACAACATCCAATTCTTGCAGTAACCGCTTTTCTTTTATGCTAACACGTGCTTTTACTTCTACTTTTCCAAACCTAACTTATTATTCAATCCTCTTTATTCAACCAACTTTGTCTTAAAGCCAAATTAAAATGCTACTAATCACACTCACTTGTATTCTTTCTATTTTTGCTGAAAACTAGTATTTTCTTAATTTTAGAAGATTGCAATCCATATATGACAAACATATTTTATTTCAACTTTCAACTACTTCAGTTAACTGCCCTTCTTTTGGTCAAGGTATTAATTTGCCAAGATAATTGATATTAGAATGTTGTGTGTTCTTGCTTATGATTGATCAACTACTACCCTTTTTTGTGTATTGGTAGTAAGTAGTCCTTTGAGATATTAAAATTAGGTTAAAGACAATTATTTTGTTAAACAGTGTCCTAAAGAATTCAAAATAGAATTTTTGTTATTAGAAATTTAATTAAAATGCATTGGAAATCACATTTAGATGTTTGGTTATTGGTGTCAATTTTCATTGAAAGTATTCTATTTTGTGTACCTTAACATGATATTTGGTTAACATTAGTAGAACAGATAATGCTACTAACGTGCAGGTATTGAAGCTTTCAGACTTTGGATACAAAAAATTGTTTTATTTTTTATCTATTGTGTAATATTTCAGGTTGAAGTCTTATAAAGAAAAGATTTGGCAGATAAGGTTTTACTTATCGGTTAGATTTTGATGTCGGGATTAACCATTAATAAAATTGATAAATATTTGTTTCCATAATATAACAATGATAAAAAAAAAAACCCTACAACTATTTGATAAATTCATTTGTTTGTTGTTATATTCTAAAATTACAAACATTTTAAACCCAATGCTTAAGCATAGTAGTTAGTCATTTTGTGCTTAGTGAACTAAAGATCACCATAACAGGAAAAAAAAATTAAGAATTTACAATGTAGTTTGAAATTCATTTTTCCTAATATCTTAATGCGATCACTTTAATAAACCATGATACTATTTAATTAAATATATATATATATATATATATATATATATATAAAGTAATTAATATATATTAAAAATATGAAATTTTGGAAATTTATCTTGTTAATTCTTCTTCAAATTTTCTTTTTAAATTGCATATTTTTCCAAGACTTGTTTGAAGAATTTTGAGAATGAAACTTATGTTCCTGATAAGATATTTCCTAAATTTTAGGAAATTTCAGATAAGATATATTGGATTGGTTCAAACTAGATTATGATGGATTAGCTTGATCGAATTAATCCATATTTATCTAGATCAAGTAGTCTTAAAATGGATTAAATTTAAAATAAGTCAAAATAAGAATAAGTTAAAGAGAAAATATAAATAGAAAAGGCATAAATTTAGAGATAAAAATGATAAAAAATTTCAATATATGTAAAATTTAAAATTATCTTATTTTAAATAATCAAAATACCTTCTAAAATTTCAATTTTTTTAATTACTTTTCAAATTATCAATCAAAATAACCAATTTTATCATGAAATATTTTAAATTCTCTATTAAAATGAATCAGCTTGTACAATTTTTTTATCCAAACACAGAAACACTTAAAATATCATATACATAAAGAAAAATAAAAAATAAAGATGTCGTATAAAAAAGTAGTTATGAAAGACTTTTCTTTTTTCCTAAGCATATCGTCAAAATTTTATTTTTTTTAAGTTAAAATTAATTTATGAAAATTTAAAAAAAATTAAGAAGTTAAATTGTTTTCCTTTTAACTTAATAATTTATGAATAATGACCTCAGTGTATTAAAACAACCTTGAGCAAATTATTCATCTCCTTATTTTCTTTGTGTTCATATTAGAGGTGTTATTTTTCTTTTGGGATTATATTTGGATAATCAACTTATTTGTAGGGTGTAGCATGTTATTATTGATATTTGGTTTATGTTTCTATATGAAAAGTTTGTGTTCTTTTTTATTGTTTTCTTATTAAGTTCATCTATAATTATAATTTTAATCTCTTATTTGTGTAATTTTAGATCTTTCAAAAGGTGTTGAAAGACCATGATTGGAAATTTTTTGATCGTATTTCCCGAGAAAGAGACGAAACATAATCAACTTGAATTCGGACAGACTATTCGAAATCTGTGAAAGACTAAATTTATTATCTCATGTAATAATTACATAGGAAATAAATCACAAAAATAAGTTTAATTTTTTGAAAAATAACTTTGTTGAATATAGAGAATATAAGGTTTGAGATTAATCTTCCTTGTGTATAAACCATAGGATAATTTATTTATAATAGAGAGATGTACAACTAAAAAGAGTAATTGAAAATAAATAAAGTAAACAAAAGATATTATTTGATATTGTAGTTAACAATATCTAACACTCCCCCTCAAGTTGGAGCATACAAATCGTATGTACCTAACTTGTTATAAATATAATTAATTCTAGGCCTCCGTAAAGATTTAGTAAAAATATCTGTTAACTGATCACTTAAGTTAACAAACTTAGTCTTGATGTTTCTAGACATAATCCTTTTTCGAATGAAATGACAGTCAATATCAATGTGTTTGATAATCTCATGAAAGACAAGATTAGAGCTAATATGAAGAACAACCTGATTATGACACATAAATTGTAACTCTCTAAGCAATTATTTGCAATTGCTTAAGTCAAACAAGTTCACAGGTAGCTGAGGTCATAACTCTATATTCTACTTCTGCACTAGATCTTGCCACAACACTTTGTTTCTTATTTTTCCATAAAATCAAGTTACTACCAATAGAGACACAATATCTAGATGTAGACCTTCTATCAGAAGGATATCCTGCCCAATCAGCATCTGAGCAGCAAACAATTCTTGTATGGTGATACAAACATCAAGGCCCAGACCCATAATAAAATGGAAGCCTAAGATCCAATAGAAGGTTTAGGAGGATCCTTGACTAGAGAAAGAGCTAAAAGGACTCATGAAGCCTTTGAGTAAATGATGATTAATTTGATGGAAGCCCAATTGCATGATGCGGCCCAATCCACGGAGGCCCAGATGGGGAAAAAAATGATGGTCTGCATTGCTAATCTAGACTGAGGATAATGGACCTAATTATCGGACTTAGGCTTTTTATGTGTTTAGCTTTAAAATTTGGTTATAATGATTTATTGTATTAAAAGATGTAAAAAAAATAACATAAGCCTAATTTGAACCTTAAACCTCAAGCTTAACTATACCTCATGTATCCACTGAGGCAAGTTACATATGCTTAAAATACTAAGAATTTAGTTTTCTTTTATGTGCTTCCAGAGGCGAACTAACTAGTTGTATTTATAATTTTGAAATTGAATGAAAAAGGTAGAATGTTATTTCATAATTTTGAAAGTGTGAGATAAACTCTCTGCTAGGGTTCTTGCTTGAACCATCGATCTTATCAAGAATTGTTCTAGTTCTTGTGGTGATCAAACCGGCTTATCAAACTTTCAGTTTGTGGTGCCTTTGCTATTATCGTTTTATCTTTCTTTTTGTAAATCTTCTTTTTCCAAAGTCGAATTTAAGCTATTTTGTTGTTTGTTTCCTGTTTTGGTTCTAATTAGGTCACACTTGTATCTTATAAAATACTAGGACATTTTCGATGTTTAATATGAAAAAATCGCAATTCAAAATGTAATTGTTTCTCTCGTTTTAATAACACTTAATTTCTGACCCTAAATATATCCTTTATCCATTCTAGTAGGGAAAACCACATCATATGGTTATTAGAACCATATAACAATCATTTTCCAAGAGATCCTTTAATATACTTTAAGATATAAATGACTGCATTCCAATGATCTTCACAGGGGGAATTAAGAAATTGGCTTACCACACTGACTGCAAAGGAAATGTCAAGACGAGTAACTGTAACATAATTCAATTTCCCAACCAATCTT